ACGAAATGTTTAGCTTTCGGCAGTTATAGTTTTGTCTTTGGAACAGAAAGTGTTAATCCAGAAGAATACAATTTGTCCATTGAAGTTCCCCCAGAAGTGGTATATGGTTTGCTTCAACCCCTGCAACTGTCACTTTTCTGGACAGCTTGGCCTGTTACAGAAAGGGAAAATAACAGTTCTACTGGCAGGATCAACAGGGGGACTCAGAAAAACCAAACCAGTATATGTCATAGTGGCTGACACTGGGCTCTTCTGCCTCTGCGGTGCCCAATACTGGCTGACACTGGGCTCTTCTGCCTCTGCGGTGCCCAATACTGGCTGACACTGGGCTCTTCTGCCTCTGCGGTGCCCAATACTGGCTGACTCTGGGCTCTTCTGCCTCTGCGGTGCCCAATACTGGCTGACTCTGGGCTCTTCTGCCCCTATGGTGCCCAATACTGGCTGACACTGGGCTCTTCTGCCCCTATGGTGCCCAATACTGGGCTGACACTGGGCTCTTCTGCCCCTATGGTGCCCAATACTGGCTGACTCTGGGCTCTTCTGCCCCTACGGTGCCCAATACTGGCTGACACTGGGTTCTTCTGCCCCTACGGTGCCCAATACTGGCTGACTCTGGGCTCTTTTGCCCCTCCGGTGCCCAATAATGGCTGACACTGGTATCTTTTGCCTCTACAGTGCCCAATACTGGGTGACATTGAGCTCTTCTGCCCCTCAGGTGCCCACTACTTGCTGACATTGGGCTCTTCTGCCCCTCTGGTTGCTGATACTGGGCTCTTCTGCTCCTCTTGTGCCCAATACTGGCTGACATTGGGCTCTTTTGCCTTTCTTATGCCCAGTACTGGCCGACACTGGGCTATTCTGCCCCTCCAGCGCCAATGCTAGACAACACTGGGCTATTCTGCCCCTCTGATGTCCAATATTGGCTGACATTGAGCTCTTCTGCCCCACTGGTGCCCCAAACTGGCTGACACTATGCTCCTTTGCCCCTCCAGTGCCCAGTACTGTCTGATACTGGGCTCCTCTGCCCCTCCTGTGCCAAATACTGTCTGATACTGGGCTCTTCTGCCCCTCCTGTGCCAAATACTGTCTGATACTGGGCTCTTCTGCCCCTCCTGTGACAAATACTGGCTGACTCTGGGCTCTTCTGCCCCTTTTGTGCCCAATACTGGCTCTTTTGCTCCTCTGGTGCCCAGTAATGTCTGACATTGGCTCTTTTTCCCTTCTTGTGCCCAATACTGGCCGACACTGGGCTATTCTGCCCCTCTGATGTCCAATATTGGCTGACATTGAGCTCTTCTGCCCCACTGGTGCCCCAAACTGGCTGACACTATGCTCCTTTGCCCCTCCAGTGCCCAGTACTGTCTGATACTGGGCTCTTCTGCCCCTCCTGTGCCAAATACTGTCTGATACTGGGCTCTTCTGCCCCTCCTGTGACAAATAATGTCTGATACTGGGCTCTTCTGCCCCTCCTGTGACAAATACTGGCTGACTCTGGGCTCTTCTGCCCCTTTTGTGCCCAATACTGGCTCTTTTTGCTCCTCTGGTGCCCAGTAATGTCTGACATTGGCTCTTTTTCCCTTCTTGTGCCCAATACTGGCCGACACTGGGCTATTCTGCCCCTGCAGTGCCCAATGCTAGCCAACACTGAGCTCTTCTACCCCTCTGCTGCCCAATATTGGCACCCAAGTATGCTGGGATTTCTAATAAGAAGACAAAAAGCAAAGGTGCTCCATAAAACCAAAAGACTGGGGTGATTCCTGCTGGGAAATGATTATAAGGGTGAGGTGAGCTCTGTGGAGGTGACATTGTGGTCCTCTTCCATCATTAAGACGTCATCATATTAGGTAGGTAGGTAGGTAGGTAGGTGGTTGATGTGCCTATTGATATAATATATTGCTGAGAAATAAAAATGATTTGAGAAAAAAAAAAACCAAACTCCCTTCTGGAAGTGTTGGGGTGCTGCGTCCACCCATAGCTCCTCTGTGTATGAAATGTATCCATGAACAAAGCTTTCCTTTGTAAGATGTTCCCACCTTCTAGGGTTGGTCCCAGATTTGGATGATCTGCTGCTGATATTGTATCTATCACTGATGGTCTGGGACCGTGTTACTCACATGGCCAAAGGTTGGAGAGGAATGATGAGAGATCCAGAAGAGAAGAGGGCAGCAGGGGGGTCTGAATGATGACTGAGAGACAGTGAGGGAGGAGGGCACCCTAATAGGTAAATGTCCATTATGTCCATACTTGATAATTAACCCACCCTCCTACATTATGTCTAGAACCCACCCTTCTACATTATGTCTAGAACCCACCCTCCTACATTATGTCTAGAACCCACCCTACTACATTATGTCTAGAACCCACCCTCCTACATTATGTCTAGAACCCACCCTCCTACATTATGTCTAGAACCCACCCTTCTACATTATGTCTAGAACCCACCCTTCTACATTATGTCTAGAACCCACCCTCCCAACTTATTGCCAGAGCCCACCTCCTCACATTATGGCCAGAGCCCGCCTTCCCACGTTAAGGCTAGAGCCCACCTCCCCACGTTATGACCAGAGCCCACCTCCCCACGTTATGGCCAGAGCCCGCCTTCCCACATTATGGTCAGATCCCGCCTTCCCACATTATGGCCAGAGCCCGCCTTCCCAGATTATGGCCAGATCCCACCTTCCCACATTATGGCCAGAGCCCGCCTTCCCACATTATGGCCAGAGCCCGCCTTCCCACATTATGGCCAGAGCCCGCCTCTCCACGTTATGGCCAGAGCCCACCTCTCCACGTTATGGCCAGAGCCCACCTCTCCACGTTATGGCCAGAGCCCACCTCTCCACGTTATGGCCAGAGCCCACCTCTCCACGTTATGGTCAGAGCCCACCTTCCCACATTATGGTCAGATCCCGCCTTCCCACATTATGGTCAGAGCCCTCCTCCCCACGTTATGGCCAGAGCCCACCTCTCCACGTTATGGCTAGAGCCCACCTCCCCACGTTATGACCAGAGCCCACCTCTCCACGTTATGGCCAGAGCCCACCTCTCCACGTTATGGTCAGATCCCGCCTTCCCACATTATGGTCAGAGCCCTCCTCCCCACGTTATGGCCAGAGCCCACCTCTCCATGTTATGGCCAGAGCCCACCTCTCCACGTTATGGTCAGAGCCCACCTTCCCACATTATGGTCAGAGCCCTCCTCCCCACGTTATGGCCAGAGCCCACCTCTCCATGTTATGGCCAGAGCCCACCTCTCCACGTTATGGTCAGAGCCCACCTTCCCACATTATGGTCAGAGCCCTCCTCCCCACGTTATGGCCAGAGCCCACCTCTCCATGTTATGGCCAGAGCCCACCTCCAAACATTATGGCCAGAGCCCACCTTTCCACGTTATGGCCGGAGTCCACCTGTTAACATTTTATAGCTGTTGGGTCCATCTTCCTGTCCTCTGTCCCCATCTCAGTATTCTTCCTTGCTTGATCCTGAGGAAGCACAATGACCCCCCCCCCCCCCACACACACAATATATTATCTCAATCTCAGTGTGTACATCTGGATTATAATGGTGTCTATGTACAATTTGCAATATGCCCACCAAGTTGAGCTATCACCAACTTTTATTGTCAGTTATATGCCACAACCGACACCCAGACAAGGTCTTCAGGTACCCAAGGCAAAAATGCCAGAGAACCCCCCAGCCCCCCCCCAAGTATTCCCACATCCACTGTGACATAAAATGTACAGATTTGAGTAGATAAAATGTGACCTGTAGCAATATGTAATCCTAAATGTAGTTTCAGTCTGTCAGGGCTCCCGGGTATGACCAGAGGTGTGTGACTGACGCAGGGAAACGCAGACTTCAGATATGTTATAAAACGATATAATTTATTTAACACTAACAATACATAAACGAAGTGCAATACTAAACATAATACAGTGCAAACGAACCAAACCACCCACAGATAACAGTACATACAATGCAAGCGTCGTCAGGCAGGCCGGGTCAATATCAATCGGGCAGGTAGGTACAGGGGGAGCAAGCGGAGAATGGTCGGGGTCACAAGCCAGGTTCAGCAGGTAGCGGGCAGCGTGGTACAGAGGGTCAGGCAGAGGGATGGTCAGGAACGAGCCGGGGTCAGAGCAGGAGAAGTCAGCAGAGGTGCAGATCAGACAGGGTCAGTGACAGGAACAGGAACAGGAACAGGATACAGCAACAGGATACAGGGCCCAGGAAAAACACACACCAAGGCAGAGTCTGCAGGTCTGGCCATCCCTTAAATACACCAGTATAATCAGTTCCAGGTGTTAGCTGGCTGCAAGGTTGAGCCTCTGATTGCTGGGAGCACCCGCTGGCCAGCCCTGGTACTGCAGCTTATAAGGCAGGTGAGTCCCACCATTGCTGGCCAGTCCATTCCTGACAGTACCCCCCCCCCAAGGAGCGGCCCCAGGACGCTCCAAACAGTCCTAGCTGGGCAAAATGTTCCACCGCCCGGGTCTGGTGACTGGCGGGATATCAAAGACTGGCACACCGGCAGGACTCCGGGCAGCGGCCCACCGGGCAGAGGCACACCGGGCAGAGGCACACCGGGCTGGACTCCGGGCAGAGGCACATCGGGCTGGACTCCGGGCAGAGGCACATCGGGCTGGACTCCGGGCAGAGGCACATCGGGCTGGACACCGGGCAGAGGCACATCGGGCTGGACTCCGGGCAGAGGCACATCGGATTACCAGGCGAAGCAGCAGGCAGCGGGCCACCAGGCGGAGCAGCAGGCACCGAGCCACCAGGCGGAGCAGCAGGCACCGGGCCACCAGGCGGAGCAGCAGGCACCGGGCCACCAGGCGGGGCGACAGGCATCGGGCCCCCAGGCGGGGTGACAGGCATCGGGCCCCCAGGAGGGGCGACAGGCATCGGGCCCCCAGGCGGGGCGACAGGCATCGGGCCCCCAGGCGGGGCGGCGGGCGCCGGGCCCCCAGGAGGGGCGACAGGCATCGGGCCCCCAGGAGGGGCGACGGGCATCGGGCCCCCAGGAGGGGCGACGGGCATCGGGCCCCCAGGCGGGGCGGCGGGCATCGGGCCCCCAGGCGGAGCGGCGGGCGCCGGACCCCCAGGCGGGGCGACAGGCATCGGGCCCCCAGGCGGGGCGACAGGCATCGGGCCCCCAGGCGGGGCGGCGGGCGCCGGACCCCCAGGCAGGGCGACAGGCATCGGGCCCCCAGGCGGGGCGACAGGCATCAAGTCATTTGGCTCGACAGCGAGCACCGCGTCATCTGGCAAGGCAGTGGGCTCCGAGTCAACTGGTATGACCGCGGGCACTGGGGCAGACATTGAATCGTCTGGCTGGACAGCGGGCATCGGGTCACCAGGCATCAGGTCATTTGGCTCGACAGCTGGCACCGCGTCATCTGGCAAGGCAGTGGGCACCGGGTCACCAGGCATTGGATCGTCTGGCTCGACAGCGGGCATCAGGTCACCAGGTATGACAGCGGGCACTGGGTCACCAGGCATCAGGTCATTTGCCTCGCCAGCGGGCACCGCGTCATCTGGCAAGGCAGTGGGCACCGAGTCACCAGGTACAACAGCGGGCTCTGAGTCAATTGGCACGACAGCGGGCACCGGGTCATCAGGTACCGGATTGTCTGGCTCGACCGCGGGTATCGGGGTCACCAGGTATGACAGCGGGCACTGGGTCATCAGGCATCAGGTCATTTGGCTCGCCAGCGGGCACCGCGTCATCTGGCCAGGCAGTGGGCACCGAGTCACCAGGCACGACAGTGGGCTCTGAGTCAATTGGCACGACAGCGGGCACTGGATCAGGTACCGGATCGTCTGGATCAACAGCGGATATCGAGTCAACTGGCCTAATAGGATCATCAGGCTGGATCAGTTCATCAGGCTGAGTGGAGGCACCAGGCTGAGTAGAGGCACCAGGCTGAGTAGAGGCACCAGGCTGAGTAGAGGCATCAGGCTGAGTAGAGGCATCCGGCTGAGTAGAGGTACCAGGCTGAGTAGAGGCATCAGGCCGAGTGGAGGCACCAGGCCGAGTGGAGGCATCAGGCCGGGTACAGGCATCAGGCTGAATACAGGCATCAGGCTGAAGTGCGGGTGCCGAGGCACCAGGCTGAACCACTGAAGGCAGGTTCTCAGACGGCAGGCTCACCGGTTTGGATACTGGCAGGATGGTATTGGTTGGAAAGAATTTTCACTTTTTTATGGTTTTAACTACTGGAGCACTGCAAGTAAACGCAGGTCTGCAAACGAATGGAGCAGCTGAGGACAGAGAAGAACTGGAGGATGGAACAGGAGAGGGAACAGTTGCTACAGAGGACTTCTTTACAGGGTTAAAGGCAGGATAGGTGCAGCGAGTGGGAACAGGGGACTGACATGCGGTAGATAGCAGGGCAGGAGGAGCTGTTGGGAATGCAGGAATAGAGCTTTGAGGAAATAGATTAGAAGCAGGACTGGGTCTTTGTAAGCTGACTGAGGCTGGGTGCAACAAGTCTGTCCATGTCTGCAGTAGGGGTTGAACAAAGCTGAGCTTACACAAAGCCTGTCTGGTCAATGACTGCACTGCGTTTATACAATCTCTCAGTGTCTGTGGTGAACATGTGGAATAACGCTCCAGAAAGTAATCCCCATCATCCTCTAATAACCACACCCAGGGACTCTACCTGGTCTGCACTAAATGGCGGCAAAAATTCATCCCTGCATTCGGGGGAACCAGATGAAACCAACTCAGCACAAACCTCAATCAATGGCTGCACCTCAGAGAACTCTGTGCCCTGATCTACTAGAACATGAGCGAGCCGTATACATTCTAGCAATTCATCCCGGGGATACTCCTTCAGAGTCTGATAAGCATACTCCCTGTCATCAAACACTAGCAGATATAAATACACAACCTCATCCAGATCCATCCTTCCCAGCAACAAACCAAGATGGCTTCCCTGTGCAGCCACTTCTGGTCAGGATTGGCCTTGGTGTAATGTCAGGGCTCCGGGGTATGACCAGAGGTGTGTGGCTGACGCAGGGAAACGCAGGCTTCAGATATGTTATAAACGATATAATTTATTTAACACTAACAATACAACATAAACGCAGTGCAATACTAAAACATAACACAGTGCAAACAAACCCAACCAACCACCCACAGATAACAGTACATACAATGCAAGCGTCGTCAGGCAGGCCGGGTCAATATCAATCGGGCAGGTAGGTACAGGGGGAGCAAGCGGAGAATGGTCGGGGTCACAAGCCAGGTTCAGCAGGTAGCGGGCAGCGTGGTACAGAGGGTCGGGCAGAGGGATGGTCAGGAACGAGCCGGGGTCAGAGCAGGAGAAGTCAGCAGGGGTCAGATCAGACAGGGTCAGCGACAGGAACAGGAACAGGATGCAGGGACAGGATACAGGGCCCAGGAAAAGCACACACCAAGGCAGAGTCTGCAGGTCTGGCCATCCCTTAAATACACCAGTATAATCAGTTTCAGGTGTTAGCTGGCTGCAAGGTTGAGCCTCTGATTGCTGGGAGCACCCGCTGGCCAGCCCTGGTACTGCAGCTTATAAGGCAGGTGAGTCCCACCATTGCTGGCCAGTCCATTCCTGACACAGTCCTTGTCATTGGGGAAATTAGGTGTTCAGAGACAGATGGTCATCAAATAGCATCTGAAAAGCCTAGCTTCCTCTGGAAGTGACACCTGGGTGCTAATAAGATTTTGTCACCTTCTGTGGAAAACTGGGAAGGAAACAGCTGAAGACAAGTTGTCTCCCTGACATTGGGAGCTCTAAAATAATATACATACATCAAAGGAGTATGTTTCATCCCTCATAAAAGCTAAAATATTAGTTGCAGAGAGATGAAAATACTTCCCTCTGATGGGGCACTCTGTGGGTCACATCGACATATAAAAACCATATTTGGTGGATTAGGTAGAATGCCAGGAAAATGCAGGAAATGGTTAGGTGGCGCTGGATTGCGACAGCCGAACTGTGATTGGTACTGTTGCGATCGGACTGATGCGCTGGTGTCGGAAATCCAATCCCCAACTTGGTGATTCAAGCCGGTCTTGGTCCGATTGACCTTGGGCAGTTCGGCACCCAGAACATCCTGTGGGCGGGTACAGGAACACCCCCCAGGGTCAATTGGCTGAGGACTAATGACCTGCCTACGTCCATATCCCCATAAATTGAGGACCTGGACATTGGGACATTGTAATTCGTATGGAGCTGGTTCGATCGACCAACGGATTACTGATTCTGCCTGACTTGCTCCAGTCGCAGGATAGATCTCGGTAAAAGTTTTATCTCTGTTTTGTATTCCCTTTTATTTTATAGTGAATAGTCATTTGTGTGTCTTCTTGTATTTTTTGTATTTCTGTAACTTTTTATATTTTGTACATATTTTATGCCCCACGCACTTTCGGGATATTAAATCTTAAAATTAATTAGTGACTTCTGTGTATTTAAGCTCGGGCTCATATCTCCGGAGAGATTGGATTGGAGAGATTAGATTGGAAATATTAGATTGGAGAGATTAGATTGGATTGTATTTTAGTGCCTTTATACGCTCGGTCAGCTCATTGCCAATCTGTATGCAACTGCACTGTGTGTGGGCAGATTACGTGCAGATTGCAAAGGTAACAGATCTGCCAGACGGAGATCTGTGTGTGTGGGGTGTCCCAGCAGACCGTTCTGCGGATAAACTGTTGGGTGGTGGCCAGCTACCGTTTGTTGTGTGTCTGGTGTGGGGGGGTATGGACAGTGGAAGGGTGATAACACCGGGGTTCTAGCTTGTAGGATAGCTGGAGGAATCCTAGAAGGGTGTAATTGCTAAGCTGCTCCTCAACTCTAATCAGTGCACCACATTGTATGTAAGATTTGTATCTGCCAGTGTGTGGTCAACCAGCTGGATTGGAGTGGAGTCTCCCCCCGGTGGTGGGCAGAGGTAGTGAGGGCTGTGAAAGTGTATCACGGCTGATCTTATATACGGTTTTATATATTCAAGGTTAAGTCCCCTTTATTCCCTCTTTACCCCAAGTCACGGCCGCACGTGTGCACCTCGCTTAGCTAGTCACTGTGGGAGTGGAGGGTGGGTGACCCGTGACATCCACACATAAAGTGCCCACAATAGAAATGACAGCAGCTGTCCATGGGCCCCGGGGCCACCACTTTTTAATACTGTAAAGCGTAAATAGGATTTCATTATCATTATGTTCTTCCATCCGGGAACTAAAAACACCCGATGACCGACCACGAGCGACAACTGTAGTCTGGGATTTGTCCGTCTTATAAAGGAAAGAAATGAGGTTTCCGGAACCAACAATTGTGAAGATGATATTAAATGTTGTGACAAATAAAGGGAAGAAGAGGAGGAGGTAATGGAACTGACGAGGGCCAACAAGGGGTTACATAGAAACAAATTCTATCAAAACAAAAGAAACTTTAATTTTTTCACAGCTGTGTGTGGAGTTCAGACTGAAGGATGAGCTGCCAATAATGACAGAATCATTGAGATGTAATATTGTTACTACATTGTATCTGTGAATGAAGCCTGCAAACCGTCTATGTACAACCTGATCAATGCAACAATGTATACAGTCATATAGTTACATAGTTACATAGTGTGGCTGAAAAAAGACAAAAGTCTATCCAGATCAAAATGATAACAATGTAATCAATAAAACTCTGTATATAATAATGTGATAACAATGTAATCAATAAAACTCTATATATAATAATGTGATAACAATGTAATCAATAAAACTCTGTATATAATAATGTGATCAATAAAGCTCTGTATATAATAATGTGATAATAATGGGATCAATAAAGCTCTGTATATAATAATATGATCAATAAAGCTCTGTATATAATAATGTGATAATAATGTGATCAATAAAGCTCTGTATATAATAATGGGATCAATAAAGCTCTGTATATAATAATGTGATAATAATGGGATCAATAAAGCTCTGTATATAATAATATGATCAATAAAGCTCTGTATATAATAATGTGATAATAATGTGATCAATAAAGCTCTGTATATAATAATGGGATCAATAAAGCTCTGTATATAATAATGGGATCAATAAAGCTCTGTATATAATAATGGGATCAATAAAGCTCTGTATATAATAATGGGATCAATAAAGCTCTCCCTATCATCAGATATATTCAGTCTGGCTGGGATCAGGCTGGTGGTATAGTGAGAACGGAGCTCCATCCTGAACTGAAGGAAATCCAGATCTATTAATGAACACAGGGGCGTGGCTAGGGTTGGTGACACCCCCTCCAACGATCCCCGCAGGATGAATCGGATCTGCAGATTGAGCATAATGGATTCGACTCTGATCCATTATCCTCCCCAATCTGCAGATCCCATCCATCCTGCGGGGATCATCAGCATACAACCTATACGGGTGACACCTACCGCATGGGGTGACACCGGACCGCTCCACCAAAAGGTAAGTTGTAAAGCAAGCCGACGATCCCCGCAGGATGGATCAGATCTGCGGATCGGGGAGCATAATGGATCGGAGTCTGATAAAATTATGCTCAATCCGCAGATCTGATCCAACCTGCGGGGATCGTCGGCTTGCTTTACAACTTACCTTTTGGTGGAGCGGTCCGGTGTCACCCCACGCGGTAGGTGTCACCCAGTGAGGCGCCCCCCACCTGCCTAGGGATGTCACTGAACACAAACCACGTGCGATTATTTATCAGTGGTGCAGCGACATGGCCATTGCTCAGGTGTAGTCTGCTCTCTCAC